ATTTTATCGTGAACCACTCAATATCTCCTAGGGTTTAATAAGAAATTAATTTTTTTTTCTTCATAATGTTTTTATACAATGTGATCTCAATTTTTTCCATTTTGTATCGCATACATTTCATTACATTTTTAAATTGAGAATAATAATATACCTATTAAAAACGTTGCCCATGTAAGAGTTTAAAAGTCAGGACAGGAAGGACAAGTGCGGTTGGGATAGTTTAGATAATTTTGTAGGTAATATGCTTCTTTGACAGTACTTTTTTATCTCCATAAACGCTGCCTGTAACGAGGCCGTTGTGCATCACCCAATCCCAAGCTTTTAGTATAATACCTCCGTTGCAACCGCAACATTCTCTGCAACAGCTCAACAGGTGTTGTGCCGACAGCATTTGCTGTGTTTTTCCTTGAGAGCTAATACAAATTCGATCACTGATAACTGACGAAACTGCTACGGCCTATATAAGTGCATTGCAGATAATAATTTATAAAAACTAAACGTTTAAAACACCGAATGAAGACAGTGTTTAAATCGAAGGACTGCCGAAAGAGAACTCGTCATGAAACCACCTTGTGGCGGCAGTACTCTGGTCCTACAAGGCCTGTTAAGCAGCTCGCTTAAGCTATCTACATGATAATCAATGATGTTATTTACCCAACCGCCTCTACATTGCCCCTGATTGACTACTTTATATACACCGCGACATCGTCCACCGAATTGTTCTCTGACATCAAAGAACTGAGGGAACGCAGCCACATATAATTTTTTCATCGGGTTCGGTTTTATCACAGACACGACACGCTTATACATCTCATCTTTAGAACAGTTTGTATTTGTATTGCAACTGGTATTCTTCTCGAGATACACCTTGAACAATTACACGCGTTAACTGTTATTTTCCTAAATATTTTTACTATTAACATGTAATGAAATTACTTTCAGCTTCTTAGTTTTTACCTTTTGTCTGGACGTTATAACATCAACATGTGGTGGTGTTACCTCGAACTCAAATGATCTTTGAACAAATGATAGCAGCAAAATTGTACATATACGGTAAATACGAAGCATAATAATTTCAATAAGGTTAATATTGAAAATTTAATTTAAAGTTCAACAAATGAGGCGTAATAAATACAAATTTTTTGTCTAATTAATAAACAAAATTGTTTACATAACTTATTGTATTTATTTCGATGGGAACGATAATAATAACTACACCTATGTATTATGAACAGATATCCCCGAGTATTGGATAGTTTATACGAATTGCGCCCAACCCTCAAATTTGTGTTGTTAAATAATTTATTATAGTCACTCATACTTGCTTCACGTGTGCAATATTAGAAACAATATTTTTTAACAAATAGCTACGTTATGTCAGCTAGCTAGGTATGTTAAAATAGCCGACTAAAAGATCAAACTTAGGTACCTATTCTCACCGCGTCTTCGTCGGTGATGCCCGAATCGGACTGCGGATTATCGTTTATAGTTTATACCACTGCGACACATAATCAAAGAACTCGCGAAATCATTAACCTCAGGAAAGTAGACAAGATCAAATAAATTATGAGCGGGCACGAGATTATCGGTAATTACATTATCGTAAAAAAAAATACCATTGCAAAATGATATCAAAAACTCTCTTGATGCACCAAAACTTAGTCATACTTGTTATGAAAAGTTCACTACGAGAATTGGTATATTCAATTCATATGAAACATATTGTAGCTAAATTTACATTTGATCCTAAACATCTGGTATCAAGCCTATGATGAATACTACAATAGAAAAATATCGGTTCTCCTACAAGGAATTACACGGGTTAACCCTTGGACTAACACGTGGACTGCATACTAGCTGAAATAATATGTTGACACGTGCTACAATATGTGTCAATGAGACCACTAAACATGTCTATTTAGGAGTCATCAACTCATTAATTAGTCTTTAGGAATCTGATTCTTAAAAACGTTTATACGAACATTTATTAAGGGAACTCATATTAACTAAATTTGTACAAAAAAACATCGTTCATTGGTTTGATCTTCCGTTGGGTCTAATAATTCAATTTCCTCTTGCGTTAAATGCCTGCCATCAATTTTAGTACTTGCTCAAACGCACTTGCAATTGCTGAATATCTTGAACATTGTCAAAGCTATCAAAATATTTTTTCAATTTGGTAATAAGCAAATTTTGGACACAAAGAATTGATTTTGAGAATTAATATTTACACTACAATGGATCGTGCATTTGTTTGCCTCGACTTATTACCTACTCTTACTGACTAATATGCTATTAACTTATTAATTGATAATAATATTACCGGGTGAATGCTTAATTTTACAAATGTAAAAATATTTAAGAATATTGTATGAATTATATTTTTAATAATATTAAAACGTATACCTAACAAGGATCTAAATAAGTTAGACTCGAATGAATACAATGCAGATGAGACCGATGGACGAAGATATTTTTGTATACGCGTATTATTGTCAATTTGTGACGATAAGACGCAACGTCTCAACTTCCCAGTCGTGGTCAATTATTTATCTATTTTTAAATATTATTTGAACACAACAGAATTATTAATTATGTAAATATATATAGTTATCAATCAACCTTATCAACCTCTTACCTCAGTATTATCATGACAGACTGTACAGACCACAGTCGCTACTCACTGGTTATATTATAATAATTTATAGTTATTAGTTACCAGTTACGGCTCAGTAGTCAGGGGACAGCTTATTGTCGAACTACAAAATATTACAATCATCACCGATGATTGTTATTTGTTGATAATTATTAAGTTTTGATTTTTAACATTTTTAATTTTAAATGTCTTCAAAAAGAATGAAATTAGGTATCGCTGAATACAAAAAAAAGCAAAGGAAATTTTTTTAAAATTGGAACAGTTGAACCGAAAAATGCCAAAAATACAAACTTTTTTTTGCGCCACCAATGGTAAGTACTTTAAAAATAATTTATTATTAATTAGTTTTACAATTAAGCTATAATATATAATATATCTCAAAATTCACGTAGTACTATTAATTACTATACTTAAAATACCACTTAGAAATAAATATTGCTGGACTAACACTTAGTGTGTGTAAAATAGTCTAAGGCTTAAATAGATAGTGAATGTGGGATATTTAAATGCAGTATGCACATATACATAATACACACATTTTTATTATATACAAGTATAATTTATAAACTATTATTATTAAGAGGACGCCACACCACTCATTTATTAAGGAGTAAGGTATAGGCAACTTTTTGCAAAATCTTAACTTATAGGTTATACGCGTTTTACATGTTTTACGCGCCGGAAAAAGTGGTGTGACGCCCTCTTAATATTAACTACCTATTATTTTTTATTAAGTGCTCTTATTACTTGGGTATATATTTTGAGCATTCAATTTCCGAGTATATACTTCTTTACTTATTCAATAAGTTAATCATTTTGTTTTAGTTAATTATTGTTAACCAATCACGGTGTGATTCTAACAAAACGCCAGATGAAATTGAACCAGTAAAAAATGATGCTGTATGTATTTATTATTTAATATATATGTATACATATATATTAATACTCATGTATCTATTGAATTTAGTTAGTTATTGACGGCCATCTTGAATTGACGTTGAAAAAAAATCATCTCAGTTAAGTATTTTGAAATCTTTAATTGACACAAAATTACATAATACATTTCCAAATATTGAGATAGCTTTGAGAATTTTCTGTTCATTTGCATGTTCAACTGCGTCAGGAGAACGTTCTTTTTCTGTACTAAAGAGGGTGAAAACCTATTTAAGATCTTCATTGGCAAACGAAAAATTGTCAGCACTATCTGGTTTTATGTATAGAAAAATATTTTAGAAGAGATTGATTGGGAAGACATCATTCATATTTTTGCTACAAAAAAAGTAATCAGAAAAAAAGTTATTTAAAACCAATTTTAATTTTATGGTTTATATTTGTTATTGTTTTATAATCTTTATTATATATATATATCTATCTGTATATTTATCTGACTGCTGTAAATTTAGTACATTAGACATTATGTTCACAAATTAAAAAGTTTTTATTTTTATTAGTATACATATACTATAATAATTTCCAAAATTTACTCATAAACTATTATGGTATTCAGAGAATAAATATGTAAATTAAAAAATATACAATATACCTTTTTAAGTTTTCATTAAAATATCCACAATTTTATATTCTAAGCTAAGGAATTTGATCAACTACTTTTTATTTTTATTAATGATCATCTTCACCTTCTTACGGCACTGACTGCGGTGTAATAGCGCACTATTACCTGCAAATACTAGTCTGAGTACTATACTAAAATCCTAACGCTATTAAAACCTTATAAGTATCAAATATTGTTACAATATAAAGTTGTGTAAATATAGTACAATTTAGAAAAAGGAACTTACCTAATTTAACCTAAACTACCGTTATTTATTCATCTTACTCTACAATAATTCTAGGAAAGGAGTAAAATTTGAGTAGAATTTGTTTTCTTAATTGTATAAAGTTCGACAAAAATAACAAAAAAATCGTACTGGAATGTGGAAACAGAAGATAAAATACAACACGACAGGACATAAAAAAGATAGATAGATGAGCTAAACTAAGACCTCCTGTTAACTATTGTAGTCCAAACACCAGTAAAAAGTGTCGAGCATTGGAGAGGAGACTGTGCAAAACAATGATTATTGCCTTGTTGGCTTGCAAAGCTGAAAACGAAGAATAATTATTTTACCTTAAGTCACTATAAATTATTATCTAACGCTAAACTAATCATTTAAACCATATTATATAAAATGTATTAACATAAACAATGCAATTTTACATTTATTGTGCAGGTAAACAATATTAAGAATTTTTTTAATAACAACATGATTATTGTTTTTCTTCATGGCACTAATAATATGAATTGTTTAGAAATGTTAAAACAGTATTCAACATAAGCGTATAACTAAACATATTGTTGGTTACAAGGTGATTGTGTTTCTAAGTTGGAATTTTCGCTCTCTTCTGCTTGTCCATTTTTCTGCGCTTGATTTTCAACTGTGTTTTGACAATATGTGAAAAAAATTAATATTTCTTAGTGTAAATAGTATAGGCAATTGTTTTAATAAATTATAAATTCAATTTAAAAAAAGCTAGTGCAGTGGGGTCAGGGCATAGTGGGGATGGGGAGGTCACGGGTATTAATTGAAGAGTAACAGTAAGTGAGTAAGTAACAGAGGTCCAGTATTCTTACAGATAAAAATACAAATATCGATAAAAGCGTTGTATCTGATGACAATTGAGTGCTTGAAAATAAATGTTTAGTATTAGGATCGATACGATTACGCGTCGAAGATAAAATAATATCGATAAATGACAACTTGAGCAATATATTGTCAGGGTCAAATAATTTTTTTGTTTTAACTCTCAATATAGGTTAGGTATCTTATTTAATTTCGGTTACCTGAACTCGGACGGCCTGATGTTACTTCACCATAGTTAGGCAAGGTAACAACTGCAACGAATGCCAAGCAAGCTGGTATGGTCCAGCTATATATCATGACATCTCGATAGTATGCTGGACATGTATCACAACGCCTAATGCGTGGCATTTTGTTTCGATTATTATTATTATTTCAACATAAAATTATTTACAACTAACGATAGTTACTACTCACAAGTATTGTACGACCATCACTATAACGCCACAGCTCACCTTGTCCGAGAAACTCATAAGTCCAAATATAAACGCACCTCGATGACTTCGACTACCAATAAAATCCGTAGTAAACCCTTGGCTAGTAACCAATAGCACTGAGCTGGCTACGCCTAAAATATGATCGACGACAGACATTTTTCGCTAATTTTACACGTTTTTAAAATAAAAAATATAGATACTGTGACTCGTTAGAATTACCAATAGTTATAGTTACAATGTAAACATCATAATGGGTGTATTCAAAACCATTGCCCACGTAACACCAAAGCGCGCAACAAAGAGCCAAAATAACTCCAAACGAGTAAGTATACTAGAAAAATTAAACGCAATACGACTAATTTATTTTGTATTTTTTTTTTTTTTATGCGAAAGCTTACTTTTCTACCTAGTCTCACGTTCATTCTCCTATTAAGCATAGACATACAAAAACTACTGAAGAACATGGTCAGTAATAGGAGAGGTATTTTTTCTGCCTCTAATTTTAGGTAATCTATTAAATACATCGGAAGAAACACCTGTTGACAAATAATATTAATTAGAACAAATTTAACAGAGGTCACGAGGGGGTGAACTCACCAAAGTCATGTTGACTATAACCCTGGAACACATGTATAAAACGGTGGTTTGATATAGAGTGACATTTTTAAATACAGAAAAAAATTGATCATCAACTATTTCAGGGGCAGAAGACGCCAATTTTTTTTTGTCACGGGTCGTGTTCGGTTCACGTACTCCAATGTGAAAAAACAGGGTGGTCATGACACCAAAAAATAGAATCGCCATTACAATCATCTGCGAGTTTGGGATTATGACATAATAAATATTTTAATTTCTAAAATAGGTACGTTTCATTTTCTACCGACTTGAAAATCTTTCATTTCGGAAGGACCAATTTGGCAATTCGATTTTTGATTAGATCTTAGCACAACCCACGTGACAACATACACTAAAATGTTCGAGAAAACGGTGAAAGTGTATCTGTAAAAGTAAGCGTTTAATATAATAATAGGTACTGATAATAGGTAAAACATGTTTTAAAAACAGTTGAAACAAATTAAACATCATATTATTAATGTTGTGCTCGCCTTATGGACAACAAAGCTGTTCTCTCGTCCCTCAGTGGCGTGAGATCGGACACCAATGCCATATGTGAATTTTCTATCGCGGCCCATCCAATTTGAAAGATTACAATGTAAAAACAATAGTATAAACACATTTGAACCTCCGACACATTCGAATCTACAGGAAACGCTGGAGGCGAGAACGCAAACGGCAAACTGATATTCACCAGTAAACTGCCTATAATAATAATTGTACAACTCGAACTTTACACATTTTTATATCTCATTCGTAAAATATAGGGCGTCTCAAAAAGAACGCCGGATTTAAATCTGCTATGAATTAAATGTATTTCTCTTAAAAAAACATAACAAATATATCATTCTCTTCAGGAGAAGTTTAGGTTTAACAGCGAAAAACAATATCGGGCATACGACCACCCCCCCCCCCCCCATTGCTAGCCCTACAGGCGATTATTCTTTCCATAAAATTTACCATCACTCGATCATCACACATTGCCCCATCAAGTTCGTTGAGGACACAACGAACTTGATGGGGCAATGTGTGATCGAGTGATGGTAAATTTTTTGAAAAGAATAATCACCTGTAGGGCTAGCAGGGGGGTCATATGCCCGATATTGTTTTTCGCTGTTAAACCTAAACTTCTCCTGAAGAGAATGATATATTTGTTATGTTTTTTTAAGAGAAATAAATTCAATTCATAGCAGATTTAAATCCGGCGTTCTTTTTGAGACACCCTTTTCTTTTGTTTTTTTTTTTTTGAAATATTAGTACAAACTATTTATTTCTACAATTATAAGTTAATAAATGTATGAATTGATGCTAAAAATGAATGTGTACAAACTGGACGATATTTATAAAGACAAGCAACTTAAAAAACAATTATTTACAGCAATTACAAGGCAAAGCCGGACTCAACAATGAAGAGAAGGACGGATTTGATGATGGGAATGACTGGGGAATTGAGAATGGAATAAGTGTCAAAATGGTTGATATTATATAAGGATAGGGTGGTGAAGAGAGGAGTACGAAGTTGAGACAAAGCAGGACACCATAGCACATGGGGGAAGTCGTGACGAGGACAGAATGGGGAATCGTTAAGGGAGAGTTTAAAGGCAGATTGTGACCGGATCGTAAGCGGGAAAAGGAGATTATTTCTCTACTAGACAAAGGGAGGAAATAAAACCACGGGAGTTTGTTGGGCGCGGAAGTGATGGTTTTATAAAATTGGGCGTAATTAGGGAAAGAATTCTTCCATAGTGAGGACCAGAAGACATGCAGGGCCTTGCGTATGGGAGGAACGAAATCGGTCCATTGTACATAGGTGGAGGAATCTGGGGCTAGGAACCAGGCAGCTCTGGCGAGGGAGTCTGCCCTTTGGTTGCCCGAGATGCCAACGTGGCCAGGAATCCATACAAACTCAACAACGACGTGAGAAGTGTGTAAGGAATGTAAAAGTTGTTTTATCTGAAGGATATAAGGGGGAGCTTGGAAGAGTCGGTGGCGATGAGAACGTTGCTATGGGAAGAAGATTTAACGTATTTCAGAGCTTTGATAATGGCTATGCGTTCTGTAGTGAAGGAATGAATGAGACGCCCTTTATTAATATATTTTTGGTCGCCAGGATAATAATATGATTACCAAACAGGTGCCACGTCTTTCGTCGTCCGTATCGATCGATCCAACTCAAATTTACTTTGTCCGACAGCACACCGATAGCAGCTGTTGCAACGGCGTCGGTTATCTGCCCCACAAACATCACAATTCCAGTGTTAATACTGGACAACTGTACGACATAATGGTAGTAAACCATCGCGTAGGTGAACCACATCGATGCAACCATGTCGTTGAGTACATGTCCGACACCGTATGTCAAGAATGAAATCCACTCGACAAATCCGGACACCTTACCGTTGTTACCTGCTGTACAGTTTAGTAATAAATGTATTAGATCAGCCTACTTTTTTTTTTACAAATAAACCGTCTTCCGGGATACAACTCCATTGACACCTATCTTGGGAAAAAGTAAAACAAAATTCTCCTAAATTTGTATACAGGGTGATTCATTAGGGATAAGACACTCGTTTTCTCGGAATATATTAATATTTTGAATATTTTTTTCCAAGATTTTTCGGTACACTTTGGTACTATATTTTTCAATATTTTGAAAGTTTTTATCACCAATCCTTGAAGGCCAAAAAGGGAGATTTTAGTTTTTTTTTAAATGGCAACATATGTTTTTAATTACATACATTTGTAGACCAAAAATAAAAAAAATATTTTTTCGTTTGAATTTTGATTTATTTGTTCATTTGTTATGACTTTATAAAGATTTGATTTTTTGACTGTATTTCTTAATATTTTCAATCGTTACTACAAAGACGAGTAGTTTTATTACACGCATAAAAATAATTAGATACAGTGGGTTTGTGTACCTGTTGGGTTGTGTTGGAATAGGTAATCTGTAGATAAGAACCGTTTGTCTATCATTATTTCAAAGTCTTTTATACCAGTGACTTTTTTTGTTAGAGTGTTATCGCCAAATGGACAATGTGAACATAAATATGAACTTTATGTGATACCGGTTTTGGAAAACCGAAGAAACATGATAATTATTAAGAGATAATGTAGTATCTTAACAAAGTCAGATCCTTAATGAATCACCCTGTATAGTGTATAAAGTGCATAAGTGCACAAGTCTTATTATGCACTTATACACTACAGCCTACTAACTGTAGCCTATTAAAACTGCATACAACAATAGAATACAACAAATACTTCAAACAAGTACGCTGTCAAGTGCCCCACAGATTTGTATCGAATCATATCGTCGAAGGGTTTATTATACAGATTTAAAAGTTTAAACCACAACAGTCTACTTCACTATGCTGGCTGGCCTAACTGCATGTATTTTTTTACTATTCAAAGGTTCGGAATCGATGGTTTTTTTCGATGCAATTTTTGTCACAGCTATTACTTTTTAGTATAGCAAAACGTTTTTTTTAATATAATAATTTGTTTACTTAACTTACGAATAAGTAACTAATTTGGATTTCCAAAATTCGGATAATCCAATCACCGATAATGACCAAATAGCTGTTAGACTATACTCGTACAGTGTTACCTTACCTACTTATAAGTTAGCCATTATAATGTTCGTTAGTATTATGCTAAATTTATTATGGTGATATTAAAAATATTGATATTACAAATAGTATATAAGTTGTGTAAGTGATATGTACCTAAGTAGAAGGTATGTAAGTGATTTATCAATAATTATTAATCACTAATATCAAAAATAATACACATAAGTCATATAAAAACAAAAATTACATGAGTTTTCCCTAGAAACGTGCATTTGAAGCTTCACGCCTCTAACGAAAACTTAGTTTAACTCATATCTATATATAAAATATTTTAAGAAAAATTAAATATACCTAACTCTGTTAGTACTACTGATAAAATGCTACTTTATGAATTAGATATGTCAAAACTTGCTTACTAGTCACGATTACCATATCATTGCAATGTCCACTATCGGCTGCTAATGAACTCATTGGAAAATATTTTGCTGTAAAATAATTTCTATTTAATCAGCTACTAATAACTACTCCGACATGTTGTACTATTAATCGCCAAGCTTTAATTTTATTGTGAAATAGATAATAATTGTTTTCATACTTAAATAATTTACATAAAATTAAAATATATATATATTTATATACAGTAGTTGCTAATCAGTTGTTTAGAGAATAACAAAATTAAATTATTAAAACACAGTTGTTTATTGTTATGTTTTTGAATATTAGCCAGTTATTTATCAATTTTCTTTGGGTAATTTTTTTATTCATATCATTTGAATGACCCTTATTTATACGCAATACGTTATTTGGTACATAGACACTAGTCGATAGTCCGGTGAACAATTAATTCCGTCCTATTCTGCATAAATAGGTATATTTTATGAAAAATAAATATTTATTCAATTTACTCCATTTGGAGTGTTTTGTGATTTACTAATACAAATGATCCTTATTATTTTATCTTAAATCTTTAACACCAAAATAGCCGTAGCTCGTCTAAATAACAGAATTATATTATTATACTACCAGAATGGTAAATTATTGTTCTTGTTTTTTGTGCGAGCACCCGCGAAACAAAAACGTTTCACTTAAGTCACTGTTACAAACTTAAATGTAAATAAATCCTTTGAAATTATAGTTAAAATAGTTTCAATTTGAAAAACCAAAAATTTAGTACATTAAAATTTATTATAAAGTGTATTGTATTTAGCAATTTTGAAATATGACTTATGTTTTACAAGCTACAGAATGTTAGGTGTGCCTTTTTAGGCAATTATGTTTTTTACGTTGTGCTGCATCAATAATTCCGCCAACCAAATGAAGTATTATACAACCAAGGTAACTCCTTTCCCAATGAAAACTTCCCATCTTGTAACGCTTCAAAGAAAATTTCAGCTCCTAACAATAACTCCACTTCGGAAGATAAAGCGAACTGAGGATCAGCCAACTGAGGCAATATGTGTTGTGGAATTGACCAAGATGATACATCTATTGATTGACTTGGTGTCACAGTCGTTATTGTAAATCTTCCCACTTACTACGTGTAAGATTTAATCATCTTGTGTATAAAGGCTGTAATGTTTCGTTAGCAAAGAATGTCATACTGTTGTTCGTTGTGGTAATTCATCCCAGGGCTCATCAAACATCAGTTTGTAATAAATAATTCCATTGAGATCATACTTTAATTCTCTGAGATCTTTACACTCAGAATCTCCCTTTGTCTTCCCAGGCCTTATTGATCGGTATATAACATTTTGCTTGTAGTCATCAAAAATTCATGTGCAAGTAATATGGAATTTAATGGAGTAGGATACTTTGTTGTTACCTTAAGAGTAGATTGTACATAGCCTGAGGGTAAAAATATATTATTTTCTTTTAGATTCCTTTCAATTAAACTATGGACACTATCCACCTCCATTTGGGTATGACCCTTAATCAAATATTTCTGTTTTATATCTACTCTATATTTAATTGAATACTTTAATCCATTAGAAAGAATAACATTCCTGTTTTGGTTCATACATATTCTAACAGTTAGATTCTGTTGCACTAATAGTGGTTTTATTGCATTATCTGCACATCCACCCCATACTATTAGTCCATATTGCATAATAGACTTGTACAATGACTCGTATACAGTATGTAGGGGAGGCCTGGGTAAATTGTACACACATAGATAGAGGAACTTTTCAAGACTGTTCTAAAATAAAAGTTTAGCTTAATTATTTTTTTAAACAGTTTAAAAAAATTATTTAAAAAGGGTTTTTTTCTCATTTAACACAATATAAGAATTCCGCACATAACACAATGCATATTAAACAATTATCGTTAAGGAAAGACACTCAGAAGTATCACCCGGTAATAAATAATTAACAATGGTTTTCTTATTTTTGCCTTATTAAACTATTAGTACAACATAATCTGTTTACACTTTACTGTTATGTCATGATAATAACTGCTATAATATAGTTAAAACTTAAAAGTGTAAATTAATTGTCTGTTAATTGTTAATTATTAATTCACTATCAGCAATACAAATTCATTATCATCAATACTGTGGCGGACACAGATATCGTATCGCCAACACGTATAAAAATCGACACAGCAGAATATTTTATTTTATTTATCGGTTCTTTATATAAAAGATTATCAAACAATACACGTGTCGTGAATATTTCAACTAAGCAACAGTTCTTTTTGCCCTTTTTTACTGCTCTATACATTTTCTTTAATAGTTGGTCCAGCTTCCGGAGGTATTACAGCAGCAGCCCAGCCAGGTCCGCCAGCCCCCTGGATCTCCAGCTTCTGGACCTACATACATATAATTACATAATTAATACATAATAATATATTAATAATTATTAGCAAAGTCGAATCGACTACGGTTTTTTATTTTACAAAAATTAACAATTAACAAAATATTATAAAACCGGTATGAAAGTAAGAAAATACAAAAAGCGACGGTGTTCGACGGCTTCGTACTGGTCCCCGTGTAAAAACCAAAACATTTATTTGAAAAACAAAATTTGGATTTTATTATATTATATAACCTTGTTTTAGGAGTATTTATACATCATTGGTAAAACAAATAATGAAGTTATGATTTGTTTAAATGCCCTTAAGGACAAAAAATGATGTTAGGAAATTATCAGTTATGGCTCTCAAGTACAGAATTGTTTTTTTAAGTTCAGTGTTTGGATATTTTGCAGAAGGACTACCAGCAATATTATGGGCAAATACTTTTTTAATATTATTTGAAAAATGTATTAATTAGGAGATTAATACAAACCTCTATATTTCTAATTGATCTACAGAAGTGACAACTTCTTTTTAATTTTAACTTTTTCTTTTATACATATATATTAACAATCTATATAGTGAGTACAATAAGTAAATGCTATAAATGTTATAAACATGATATTAAACAATTATCGTTAAGGGTAGGTTAGGAGGTTAGGTTAGGTGACCGATCCAATTGTCCTACCATTGCCGGCGTAAGGAGGGGTGTTTAATAAAATTAAAAATTCTTTCGTGGTCTTTAGCATAAAGCTGTTAGAACCCTTACTTCAATTGCAGTATTTGTGTTCTCCGGTTTACCGTGTGGGTATAGTACCCGCCTGTCATACCGATATATGGGCCTTGGGGTGGATTTTGCAACTAATATTTGATACAAGCTTTCGACCTTTCAACGCGAGCTTTTCTAAAAACAAAATGAACAAAGATTAACGACAGCCAATTTTAACGGTTAGGTTATAAGAACAGTCAATTTCCACAACACCACAGAGGTACGACGAATGAAGCGTTTTTTTTCAAGTGGTTTCCCCGAGAGGCCTATTCCACCTAACCCAAATAAGGGTTTAAAATTTTTTTTTTTAAAACATTATTCTCGCTCTAATGCCGCTAGTTGGTCGTGAGTTAACACTGCCATTTCTGCAAGGAGATGTACTCGGGCCTCGCAACGGGCTGGCAAAACCCTGTCATAGAACCGATCTGACCTAAAAAAAAACCAAAAATTAAAAAACTACCGACAATACATATGTAGCAAAAAAAAACTAAAATACATTCAACGGTTTATGTGAGGCGGCCTGGATAACAAGAGCAGGTAAAACTTCAACGTAGTTTTCTATTAACTCCGCTAAAACCTCATAAACAATTATAAATTTCTATTAAACAGACACAGTAGGATTCCTATAGGTATCAGTGTAGCTTCCCAAAATGCCTGTGCACGTTTATAGGTGAAATCACGCCGATGTCTGTTAATCGGAGGTACGTCCGATCGCCTTTAGTGTACCGTGCATCCTTGTGAGACGACATTGACTAAAGGCTGTCTCCTACGACTTCGGGTACCCCATCCCACAATCAAGACCAATGACTGTGCCAGCCAGCATAAGCCAACTAATCGCGGCCTAAAACAAAGATATACAAACGTTAATATGAACTATCTATAAAAATATGAGAAAATTCATTATTATAAATGTAAAGAAGTATTGTAGTTTAATAGTTTAGTAGTAAATATTGTAACTTACGAATATTTGTGGTGTTTAAGTAGAGAGGCGAATTTGGAATTAACACAAATCGCGTAGACGAGAACTGGAGCTGGAAATTTTATGAACATGATCTTTAAAAGCAACATAGACCGGCAACTTGCCAATGACAAGGACTACAATTATTGTCAACACAGTTGTCAAGAGTAAGTTTACCATAAACAAACGGCGGATAGCAAAATATGCCGAAATGTGTTATCATTTTTATCATACTGTTATTGACAAGTCTTATCTTGGTCATGATAATTTTACCGTGGTCACCCCAGTATACCTTAATATACCGCATAATACCACAGATTATCTAATCTGTGATTATACTGTTATCAAATTTGTTATCTAGACTTGTCGAATGACCATGTGCGCGACATGTTGTCATACAATTTAAAATTTAACAAAATTTTTATAATAAATATTAAATATTTTTATATTAAATTTGTTATAACTACCTTTTTAAAATCCAATTAGTTATAGCTACCTTTCCAACAAAATGGATCAATCAGTGCCAATAATCGGTAACATTGTTTTTTCCAATACTTATGTATTTTGTCTCAACAATTTAAATTGGAACAACCTATATACTTTTTTATGTTGTTACTTAATTTGTATTGATTCGTTTTCAGCAAGTAAAAACACCCACCAAAGCCATCCAGTGGATGACCGCTATGGTGGTGATGTTGGCAAACCGGATTCGCCTGAAGTTCGAATGTAACCACGGCAAACTATCATGTAAGTTTTTCACACATACTTGCTTGTACTGATGGCCATTTAAATAAAAAAGTATCAGGACGGATATCCTGGTATAACTATTAGTATCCAATAATTCTTGTAAATATTTTTTCCTCGATAAAACTAATAATAGTAGTATAACAATACTTTTTCGAAAATTGTTTTTTTTTTAAACGTACGTTTAATAAAATAATATAGCAGAGGAAACTTTTTTTGACATTGGCATCATTGACAATGTAACTGTAAGTATTATTATAATGTAAATTATAATAATACTCGTAGGTATATCAGAGGTAATTAAGAGAATGATGTAATGAACTTCTATTTATATTATTAGTTAGTAGTTCAATTTTAGTTTGTAAGTAAAGTATGACATTTTTAAATTGGTTACGCTTAACAATTTTGTTGTTTCTTGTTTTTAATTATTAGCTTAAAGTAAAAATACCAAAAATGTACAAAATTGTGTGTTTTTTTTAGATCGAAACAAATAGATCAAGAAAGCAATGTCCATATTGCCTAATTGCATGGACAGAAGGTCAATTTACTATCAAAACCATTCCTTGTAGTCTTAATGTGAAGAAAAAAAAATAAGAAACCACCAAAAGCGGTATCACTTCAGCGATTGTTTAAAATGGTATTTTTTTTAAAAATAAATATAATTTAAATTAAAAGGACGCTACATACTCGTTAATTTAACACCAAAAAATGGTTTTTTAGACAGTATGTGTGGATGGTGTTTACAGTAACCGTGTGAAGTTCTTACGATGAACAGAAAAGAACTTAATCTATGTCATAGTGTTTTTAGTTATTTGTTAACTTAAACACAATCAAAATGATTCATTCGTAATGGTTCATTTTTTGCCTTTTATTATCTTCATTTATAAACAAATAATAATATATAAAAATAAAAACGCTACGGTATACATTGTGAAAATTTGGTTAATTTACTATTAATACTGCTCAAAGCAGTTTTGATTTGAAATACATTTTATTTTATCCTATTGAAATTACTGTGATAGTCTCACAAAAAAATATGGGTATCAGTAAAGAATCCTTAATACTGTGTTAATCAATATACATATTATTACATGCTCTAAATGAAGATTTTGCAAAAAAATGGCTTATACATTACTCCTTAGAAATGGGCAGTGTAGCGTCCTCTTAAGTATGCAATATTCTACTTTTTTAATTTTAATTATTAATGTGCATTTTTTAGGTAGCCAAATGTACGGTTTGTCATAATACGACAAATTTAGTTTTCAATAAAAATAATTACCTAAAAAAAAGAGAGTATTCCAGAATAACAAAAAAGAAGAAGTAAATCTTGACAACAAAAATAAGAAGAAGAAAAAAACCGTATGCTGGTTTTTAAATCCGTTAGTTTTTAAAATAGTATATTATATTATTAAAAAAAAAAGATAATTTACATTTGATTTCTTTTTTTTTTTAATACCCTATATTAGGGTATTTTAGATTGATATTAAATTACTATTGTATCAATATTTTTATTAATACTACAAATCTAGAGTGTTTTCCTTACCTAGTCTATTTGGACAAATGATAAAACAGTAATTATTTCTTCCGGTTAGTGTCAATAGAGAACTGTTCAACCATCATCTTTGACTCATGTTAAAACTGAAAGATATATTACTTATAAATAAGTTAAAAGTTGAAATGTTAATTATTAAAATAATAGGTAGAGATTAAAGGGATAGGTAAATGTGTTTATTACAAAAAAATAACACTATACCTGTTACCACATTTTAACGCTATCAATCGGCACCGTGTCGGCTGAATAAACAGCGAATTCCAATTATACACAATAAGACTGCTATATATAAATACTCAAGGAAGAATAGAATATTTAGGTGCTAAATTACCATTAATAGAATGAAATAACTAAAAGTTTTCCATGAAATATTTTATTAAATGTAATATGGACATTTCACTTACCTGGAAAACTCATATTACCTAATAAATTCAAACTTAAAGACCAGCCAAAAATTAACAAAACTCTCACAGCACAGATGAATCTTGAGTATAAAGTATAATACTTGTTAATTATTAAATTTGTATTAAACACTAGCTGTGTTAACCGGCAATATTATTATTACCATTGTTATTTATAGTAAATACACTGACGTAAAAAAATTCAACCAAGAAATAACGTTTTCCATTTTTACCCTTTAGGGGTTGAATTTTTGTAAATCCTTTCTTAGTAATTCCTGTCGGTTTAAAAATAATAACTTCCTACAGAATCTTGTCTGGGAGCTCAACGACGAAACATTCACAAAACGCTTATTTCAAAAGTTGTATTCAGAAATTAAATAAATATTTTTGAATTCGGTTTTAAGGAAAAGTTATTTTATTGTTTTAACTTTGATAAATTCTGAAATATAAAATGTGTTGCAACATTAATAGTTGTGCATAAATTATAACAGAAATTGTTGAATAAAATAAAAAAATGTTTTCAAGGTATCAAACATTTTTAATTTTAAAATATGAACTTTGTTTGACTGTATTTTCAAAGGGCGTCGCACCGGTGATTTTCAGTGGTAGAAACATGTTTAAGCAGACTGAAACTATCTTGCTTAATTTTGGTTTTTGAGTAGAAGCACCTATTATAAAATTAAAAGAGAACAATATTCCGAAAAATGTTAAAATAGCCGTTATTTCTAAACTATGTATTGAGCGCGGTATGCTTGGAATAACGCACCGCCTTGCCCTCCGGAATATTAGTTTCTTTTAATTTTATAATGGGTGCTTTTACTCTAAATCCAAAATTAAGCGAGTTATTTTCAGTCTGCTTAAACATGTAGAGATGAAAAAACATTTTTAAATCGCTTTCAAGGATGCTGTGGTAGTCCAAAAAATAAATTAACTACCAAAATACAGTCCTAGTTATTGAACTAATAATTACACATCACAGTTTGACCGTTAAATGAAGTTTTTGTAAAATATTGCCTATACTTTACTCCTTAAAAATGGGCGGTGCGACGTCCTCTTAATATAAACACTGGTGCCTTAACGGCTGTAAAATAGGCAATTTTATGTGCTCTCCGTGTAGCCTATCCTAAAACGCCTTTAATAAACAAAAAAAGAACCAAAGGATGTAATTTTTGTTAGGTTGAAGTCAAAAACGAAGCAGAAGTACAATTAATAATTTTTATTGTTTACACAGTTTTTTTTATAAATTTTGTGTGCATAAATAAGAAGTAAATTCAAATAAGTCACAGGTTTGATAAGCAAATAATCGAATAAAGAATAATTAATAATAAAGGCGGCGGTTAGACCGTTACAATTTTTAAAATATGATACGGCCCTGGATAACCCGAGTTAAGTGATACTTGGCCTGATTCCCATAGACCTGCAAAAAGTGTGGGGAAGAAGGTGGTGTGAACTCCTCGATGCTCATCTCAGACAATTTAGCTTTCGTATTTTTCCCATGGGCTTGTATTCGAGTCGGTTTTTCGAAATAAACTTGTTATGTTTTAATTTTTTTAATTTTGCCACTGCACACGTCGACACACATGACGGGTGCGATTTGTTGAGTTTAATCCCATTGTTTTTTTACCCACACGTACAAATCGAACCGGAATTATTTAAATTTGATATTGACTTGAAATTTGACATAATAATAATTGTTTAAAAAGAACGAGCTCTTTTGAGGGACAACGGACAGCGGAATACAGTAATACACACAACATTCAGTAATACGACAGTGAAGATAATAAGTACAAAACCCATAATAAATGCATTTATTTTATAAACAAAATATTAAGAGGGCGTCGCACCGCCTATTTTTAAGGAGTAAAGTATAGGCAATTTTTCAAAAAAACTTAATTTAAAGGTCACACTGTGATGTGTAATTATTAGTTAAATAACTAGGACTGTATTTTGGTAGTTAATTTATTTTTTGGACTACCACAGCATCCTTGAAAGCGATTTAAAAACGGTTTTTCATCTATACATGTTTAAGCAGACTGAAAATAAATCGCTTAATTTTGGTTTTAGAGTAGAAGCACCCATTATAAAATTAAAATAGAACAATATTCCGGAGGGCAAGGCGGTACGTTTTTTTCGTTATTCCAAGTGTTACGCACAATACATAGTTTAGAAATAACGACTATTTTAACATTTTTAACTGACTGTAACTTTTCAAAAAATTAATTTTTTTTAAAAAAACGCACCGTTTTGCGCTCCGGGATATTATTCTCAGTCTGCTTAAACATGTTTTTACCACTGAAAATCACCGATGCGACGCCCTCTTAATTCGTTGGATTTTTGTATATATATTATTTATTATATTATTTTTTTCCAATTACCAAACGGTGCCGCTTCGACGCCCTTAACTACCCTACTACCCATTAAAAAAAATTAAATTGTAATAATCCGTTACAATCTTTTAACTTATATATATATATATATATATATATGTATATTTTTATCCATACTTAACATCAGTTCACTGTTTCAATTTAAATTTTTTTGAACTTATCATTAAATATAAAAATTGATGACATAAGTATAATTACAAATTAACAATATTTTTCAGGCGTTTTGCGGTGCATACTCAGGGCCGGCGTTATGAAATATTGACGATGGGGGGGGGGGGGTGTTTTCAAGTATTTGCCGACTGAAAAATGTTTGACCTGTAATTTCTTAAAACAAAAATATTTAAATATACATTTTAAAAATCCTGTTTTTCTGTACGATAGTTAAGGCGCACTACAATAGCTTAAGCAAACAATTATGATTTAATAAATATTAAAAAAATATATAATAGAACTAAAACAACATTTTTAGAACGGTTCTATTCTATAAAACAAAAATTTACTTTTGTCAAGTCTAGGTTATCTGTTGCTACAACCACTTTCTCTCTTTCTGTCTCACATAAAGTTTCTATAAGCTTATTGGTTGTTTTCTCTACATTTTTTCCCTAACATAATTTGTTTAAGAGGGCTCTACACTATAATTTAATAAGGCGCATTGTATAGGCAATTTTTCGCTTAAACTTAACATTAAGCTAAAATGTTTAAACATACATATTACCATAGAAATGAAGTATCTATTTTGATGATTTTTTTTTTTTTTAACTTTTATAGCGCATATAGGATCTATTTTTGTACAAAATCACATGTTTTTACTTCAAACGTATTGTCCTTGAGAATACATGGATTTAAGTTTTTAAAAACATTTGAATTGTTCACAACATTATCAAGGCATCGGCCGTGGCATAATTTTAAAATTATTTTTAGTATATTAATTATTTGAATATAAAAGAAAATGCAAATTTGAACTTTTTTAAATGGAAATAATTGATTAACTGAAAATAGTTTTAAAATTGGGCCACGACCGATGCCTTGAAAATGTTTTGAAGAACTCAAATACCCTAAAAAAGTCAAAACTATAGATTTTGCTATATTTTTTAAAAAAATTTACTACATAATGAAAAATAAAATTATTTTAACATTTTTAATTATGATCATTTAGTAGTATGAATTGTTGGTTAGCCATTTAAAAAAATTCATCAATCAATTAATGGATTTAAATATATTAATTTATCTATAATGTACATAAAAAATGTCTCTGGATAAGTATCAAATAATATATAGGTATATAGGATTTGTGCACTGAATATTATTATTATTATTATTATATGTAATTGTCCAAATCTAAAAACTTAAAAGATTTGCATCGAGACATTTTATTTAACCTCTCTTTGGACGTTTTTATAAGCACTGCCATGATTTGTTGATGAATTTTGGATAATAGATAATAAAATTGATGTTGCCACATTCTTAAATGATGTTTCTTTTTATTCCAAAATATTAAACAATGTATTCCTCAAATTCCTTTCTTTCAATTAACATTTCTCGTACCCATGTTCTTCTATGTCGTTTCTCTTCATCCTCATCCAAAATAAGCGCCATTATTGCCAATTTTTTTTTTAACACGTTGAAAAATTATTAATATTACCCTTACCGCGAGATCTTCAAATAAATATCATACCAATTATTACCATTTTATGAGATCTCAGATTAAATATCAAAACATTTTTATTTTAAAAACTAACCTCTTTATCATTGTAGTAAAACATATATTTTAACAAAAAAGTCTTTATTTTCTTCTTGAAATTTGAAAAACCTAAACTATTTAAACACTATAGTAGTAGGTATATAACAATATAATGGTTATATAATAAAAACTGATCTCCCCAGTTGGGGTCATCATCTGTATCATCGTACGATGAGTAATCAAAGGATGAATTTAACCATGTCATTAATACGGTCAGTGTCCATTATTAATTATTAAAAACTTAATATTAC